TTATCTAGGATGTTTTTAAAATATTTTAAAATATTGTGTGCCTATAGGGTATCTGTTTAGGAAATTGTTACAAAAAAATACACTACCTGTTTTCATGAATAAATATTTTATATAGCTAAGTAAATTATCTTATTATTATAAGTTATAACGTTCACGAAAAAACGCAATTCGTGCAATCCAACAAGAACAAGAATGTGGAAGCTTGAAATGACTTGTTTATAGAGAAAGTACGCCTCCCTGGATTTACAACGTGTAAAATATGCATTACTGATATTTTGTTAGGTAGGTACTATGTAGGTTCTTTAAGCCCGTTACATCCCAAAAACATAATACTTTTTTCACTACCGATCAGAAAATGAAAATAGTTGACAAATTTGAAATCGAAAATGTTGAAGCCGAGTACCAAACGTGGAAAGCAACTGGACTACGAAAGAGCTTTCTGCACACAATGAGCTCTCCAATAATGATATAGTGTCCAAACATTGTGAATTTAATCCAGGCCTACAAAAGGATTTAAAAATATCTATGGCTCTTCCAACAACGACGACGTCAATCGAAAGAACGTTTAGCATGCTAAGGCGTGTTAAAACATAACTGCGGTCTACAATGAATGAAAACAGGCGAATGGGTTATGCATGATGAGCGTACTGAAAACAAAAATTATGTTTTCTGTTAACGATATTTTTGGTAGAGAAAGAAGAAATTTAAAATTTGCGTTTTTTGTGTTGGTCGGCGTGTTTGAGTGAGTTTTCGTGTTTCTATATTTTATTTTTTTATTATTATGTATGGCTGTGTCTTGTCTAAATCACACCTAATTTTTTTTTCAAAATTTTTCCCCTCCCTATAGAATTGTGTACCGACGCCCATGTATAAAGGGATAACCCTAGAAATGTTTGGTTATTTTGATGTGCTTCGCCGTGATAAATAGTCGTGAGATATTATTTCTATAACTATGTAGTAATCTATTAATAAATTAATTTACATTTCAAAATGTCTGAATCTAAGTCTAAAAAGAAATGCCGGCACGTACGAACCTATGTAAATTCTTGCCATAAATAAAGGAAACGGGAAATATAAAAAAAAGATATTGCTTGAGTAAATTAGTTTATTATAATAGTCACAACATTCGTAAAATTAAAATTTGGATTATATAAATTCGTTACATTTTTAGTTAATATAATATGAATTATTAAAATCTTTCATATAGGTAATATAATCTATACTTTAATAATATATTTTTGTCTTAAGTGTTAATGTACATATATATTTAATTTGGTTCTCTACAAAATAAAAAAAGGGGTATAAAAATACTACAAAAATATTAATGTAACTTCTTAAAATATTAACAATTACTATAATTAAGGCTTTGTCTCATCACAATTCTATTAAACGATTTTAAGTAAAAAAAAGTTAACAGTCGTTTGCAAGAACATTTATTCAAATATACGAGGAGTCCTATAAACTTTGACATATATTTAAACTGAGTAATTTAAAGTTCGTGTTTTTCAGACTGATCACATTCTCAAGTAAAATTTTATCAAGCTCATAAATTTTAATGAAAGTTCTTACAACGGACTCTAAACCCTAAACGTATAACCAATTTTGATAAAGATATTCAAATATAGAATCAAAAATGTTTTTTCATATAAGGAATAAAAAATCGATAACATTTCAAAAAATCGTAATTCGTCTGGCGAATTTAATTTCTATTTTTAAAATATAATATTTACAAAAGAAAAGATAGCTCGTTAATATTTTATATTTATAGGTATCACGAAATAACTAAAGTTATCTAGGAAGCTGACCAGTACCATTTTTTTAGAGTTAATTAGAATAAGGTATCCATATTATTCTCTATTAATAATAAATTGTTCATAAAAATGTGTTCCTTAAAATTATAAATAGAACAATGCATCTGATTATTAGCGAAAAGAGAAGCCTATGTTCAGTATGTACGTATTTAATGATGATCATGAATATTTTTATTTCGAATTTAATAAAATTATATCAAACGCTATTCGGAACGACGACATCCTAGTTCTTGAATTGCGGCAATGTCTCAAAATGACACCAAAGAAGAAACTAACAAATTGACGGAAAATTGACTTACATAGCAGTTAATCGATAATTCTCTGTGATTACAATCATTGCAGCTGCAGTTCACTTTTTAAAGGTGATTTAGGCCGGATCATTGTTCAAATCTATATGCATATTTATGCTAGACTTTTATGTGTCCCACTAGATCAACTGCTTTTATTGCTACGGGAATTTTGTATCCTGCCACTGCAGCCCTTTATCAAAGTAAATGTTTTGAAGAGTAATATACAGAGTGAAAGTGTTACTTTTTAGTTACTTTTACATACATATCTCCGTAAGAAAAATGACACAAGTACAAATTTTGAGTTTTTTGAGTTATGGCAGTGGCGGCTCGTACACACTGGTGGTGCCAGGCCAGTGTATCACGCTCACCGTCGGTGGTAAAACATTTTTGGGTATCACGCCCAAATTTTAATAGCACGCAAAACATAAAGTGCATTTTTTATCACATCCACAAATCCAGTTATTTTTTAAATACGTATTCCGATTAAACTTTCTTATACGGCTTGACGATTCCTAAATGGGCAAGCGACCTTCCAAATTCTTTGATTTAAATTTTGTCCTCGAGCGAGTATGTAGAAAAAGGTTTCATTATCAGATTGCTTATTTTATTTGCCTCGGACGATTTGTAAACAACATTTGTATTTATTATTATGCGAAAAGCTAATAAAACATTTAACTCATATAGGCTGGCCCCCCGATGTAGTTATGCACAATGCCAACCGCCAACATGCCACTCAAAAACTAATCCGAGTCACTCCATTAGACGAGCCGACCGCGTTGTGACGTTGGTCAGGCTGCATAAACTGGAATCGTTGCTCGGACCGAATATAGTCATTCCAGTGAATTGAGTCAGGAGATTGAATATTTTGTGTCTTGGAATAACATGTTCTTTCCTGTAGAGCCCTGCACGGGCAGAATTTTTCAGGACCGGTCCGGCCCGGGTCCGAAAATGAAGCATTCTTTCTATTACTCATAACACCGAAGTTATTGTCGAACGTGGTGTCTACGACATACCCCCTTTTGGGGGTGTGTCCGTCAATGTGTTAACTCATAAAACCAGTTTTCAAGAAAACGCGAAAAGCTTTTAAATTACTGAGGTTTACAAAAAAAATACATATAAAACCGTCTTCCTGCGATTTACACAGTGTTTAATACAATTAAATCGTTTTTTGTATAAAATAGCGCAGTTTCCTATAAAGGAACGATTTTTTGTAAAAACAAATGTTTGACAAATGTGCGCTTTCTACAAAAAAAAACAATTTTTTGTAAAACTATATTTTTTCTATTTTTTATGACAACTGTTGTACTGTAAAGCTTTTATATAATAATACAAATATTTTTGAATATTTTTAAATCCAAATAGGTACCCAACTTAATCTATACGGGAAAGGAATGCACTAATTTCACACTGTATACTTAAAAAGTTAAATACGTCGTGTACTCCATCAATGTTACCGAGTTTTTCCATGAAATCGTTTCTACAAAATTTCTAAAGTTAGTTTTTGAGGGATTGATATGACATGACAAAATGTAATATTATTGAATCACTAGATAATACGAAAATTGAATTTACTTCAACCGTCCTCAAAATACCTATTTAGAACATATACTTTAGTCCAGAAAGTGGCAATTTTCGTTTCATGGTGACACTGGGCACTCAGTTAATAATTTTTTTGAAAACGGTTGAAAAAAAACTGGTACAAAAATAGACTAGTTTTTACTTACAAAGACATGTCTGAGATAATTTCACAAGCCTCAAATCGTTGTCTACAAAAAAAATATTTCTGACTGATTTATTTCATTGTCAACTGATAAGAAAAATTGTATCGCTTATATCTTAGCTTGTCCTCAGCCAACGTTAACTTGGTGCTAGTTTGTGACGTGCTTTTAGAAAATAATTATGCAAAAAGAACCCAAAGTTAACAAACTTTAGACAATACCTACAGTTTATTATTGATTTTGTGAATTTAAACGTGAAATGTGTGTGGGACGAAGCCGAATAGAAAAGGTACCATTACGATCGATGCGCACTGGTCCGCTGTTATCGATCGTCTAGGTAACATCGTGATTACTAACCACATCAACAGCTAGTCTTACACGCCACTGGTTTGAAATCTATCTGTTTGGAACCGGTGACATCGATGCGCGAAGTGTGACATAATGGTATCTTCTCTATTCGGGCTCACTTTACGTTAGACTACAATAATTGTTTGCGCTGAAAATATTTTATTGCAACAGAAAACCTAATTAACGAAAATCTTTCATAGAGAGATTAAAGAAAAATTAGGCATTTAATCATCTGTAGTAGATATTCAATAAGGGTATTGGAAATTGATAAATCGATGGATTAAACATTTGATAATGCAACCAAGAACTAGTAGACTGTTGCAGGTTTGTGTATGAGGAGTTAGGAGGATCTACAAACCAGATATTTAATATCATTGCTGAAGAATCCTGGATAAATAGGTACAGAAATTTAAACGCCTCCTAAACCAAATCTATTAGATATGAACGTAAGTGGAATTGAGGTAAAGGTCTACGGTCTTTGTTTTGTCCAATTCATTCCGCGTTTAGATTTCCGTACCTAACTCTGACCCGAGTTAAATAACAATCAACTGTTTAAGTGTTTACAAATGTTGAAAAGCCAACAAATCATATTCACGGTAAAATTGTAAACAAAAAATGATAACAGTTTTGTTTAGTCCAGTTGTACTAATTCCTCTTGATGATCAATACTGCTTTAAATAATAATTATTGTACAAAAGGTTTCATTTGTGTTATCGTCGCATATAAGCAACTACTTCACATACAGAAACGGCAAAAGGTTACATTTTCTGAACATAGAGGTTGCTGAATTTCAGAAAATTATTAGCTGCTTGCTAACACAATGACATGAACTTTTCGCCTGTTTGCAGAACTCATTTCAATGAATGATGAACGTATTAACGTATTTTTAAAACGAATAAAAATATTTTATTTAAAAACCCAGTAGTTTGTATCTAAAATTATTCAGATCAGCCCTAGTTTCTATACCTATATTCTTAAGGCAAATTCTAAATTACATCTGTTTAAAAACTAATCCCGCATGTCGTGAGGTCTGAATCTCAATTTAAAGTCAATACCTCCCTGGACTGGCTTCATTTAAGTAATTAAAATCTGTTTGTTTTGGTGCTGAGGTTTGAAAATATTAGATAGTTCATCAATTAAAGTTTCATAGCGAAAAGCGACTCTAATATCTGGTACATTAGTTCTCGCTATATCGTTACCAGCAACTCCTTCTTTAGTATAGTTGGGACCTAGCCAATATTGTTTGGTTTTATGAGAAAAGCCCGACATCAGAACACTATTTCTAGCTAATTCGCACATATCACAACTAGAGAGTTTCCAGACCTGAGCGGCAATACTGTACTCCTCCATTAACGGTTCCTTGGTGAAGTGAAATTGAAGAGGATCGTCAGAAGATAGCGAAACCTGCAAACCTCTTGCTAAATATTCTGGTAAAGGATTACGATGATAATTCAAGAATAAACTGTTATTAGATAAAGGACTCATTGCAATACCAATCTGTGCGAGATAATAAAGATACTGCAAAACTGGAACTTTTCTCAGAAGCAAACCGTGAGAAATATTTTCAGAAAGCATATAACCGCAAACAAGATGTTGTACCGGTCCAGCTTCGCCACAATGCGGTCTAAGAACAAATGTATGAAGACCTTTATCGTTTCTGAAATGATTCAAAACTGTTAGATTCGCATACATATAATATAAATAATAAGCATAGTTTGGATTCTCTTCGTCGGTCCATTTTTCCGGAGTCGGAGTATCCTTGTCAAATAAAGGATTTCTTTCTGGTTTACTCTCGTCATCAACAGAATCGAAACCAATCACGTACTGCAAGAAATTGTGGAGTTCAGGATGGGAGCTCGGATTGGCTGTTACTTCGAAAAGAGGAAGGAAAATATTATCGATAACCTCCTGGAAGCAGTTTAGTACTTTATTCAGCTTGAAGATGTCGCTAAAATATATTTTTTAAATTAGGATTACATCTTATCTGTAACTATAACCGTTTTAAAGCGAAGAACCAAAAAACACTTTGGTTATACCCTTGGTTAACCTTAAAATCACGTGACTAAAGCCCTAAAAAGATAACCGGTCATTGTATCGCATTAACGTTAAATCGTTTTTAAGGAATATGACATGAAATTTTGACATTTTATTTCTAGGTTAATTTTATTGACTCTAAGGTGGAAATTGAGGAAAATTCGTATACATTTATTATTAGTGAGATTTTCCCTCGAATATAACAAATTTAATTCGCTACCTTGTTAGTAATGGTATAGATTATGAAACAATCCGGAATAGAATTATTGTCCGATATTGATATGGTACCAAAAATAATTATATTTGTGTAAACTGAATGTTAAAATGTAATAAGAAACAGTTTGACATGACTTTTTATGGCGTCAGAAGTGCGTCAAAAGCATTTGATAATTTTCGTAGGTATATCTATATACTTAAATAAAAGTGTAATGTAATTTCCAATTTTGACTGAGCGAATTCTATAATCTAACCTTAGATTATACAAACCTTTCTAAACTCTTCGAATCTAACCAAAAAACACTAACTACATGACACTTCCACTTTTCAGTACTAACCATGCATCTAACCATGTACTAACCCACGTCTGGACTCAGAAGGGCTTAAATATGACTACTCTGTTTTTAAACTAGGAGGAGCGAATTTAAACGACCCATTTACTCAGGGAAAAGTAACTAGATTCGTTACTAAGAGCGTGTTCCGAAATGTAGTAGTGTTCAAAATCTATGAAATACTTTTTATTATCGGCCCTAGTCGGCGAACAGCCAATGAGGAATTAAGAGCGAATAAATCTCATAGGAGTCGATTTCTTATTGGTCTCAAACATAGGTAGTAAATTTCACATTATTGTGATCTGAAACGTGTATCTAAAACGAACTGTCAAAAAATTCAATTTAGCCGTTGATTTCTTTTTGAGAATAACTATGATCTTTTTAAAATGGAATTTGAATATTTAAGAAAATTTTTAAAACTCAAGTAAAAGTTAAATATTGGCTTGGACCCCTTTACCATATAATGCTCTTTATTCTCAGTAAATACCAACACATTGACTGGAATTTCTCCTATAAGTAATATAGCTATTGTAACTCATTTAGTGTTAACCCAGAGTTGATTCGCTAAAGAGTAAATGAAGGCATTTAAAAGCTTACAGGCTATTGTGAGTCAGGATTTATTTTGAAAACTGGAACCATCAGTTTCATAACACTACATGTCAACATTATTTTAAAAACTGTTTAATAATATTGTAGTTTCTTCTAACTCTAGTTGTATTTTTTATTTTTTAATTTAAAGTTATACGTATTAATTTTAAGTAGATATTTTTGTTGTTTGATAATTTGTTGTAGAAATATTGTTAGTTCATTATGCTAAATTAAGATTCTCTAATGTAGTAGTAGATGGTGTTTTAAATGCTCAATCACAGTTCTGCAAATGATTTATTTTCTAATAAATAAAGTTTACTTGAATGTTTAGTTACATTTTAATCATTTGGTAAGAAATTCATCAATTTTTAGTTCTAAAAATTCAGTAATAAGTTTAGTTTTTTTTTTCTGAAATACTTCGGAATCCATATCTTCATGGTAATATTTGCCTTCAAAAATCAATAATAAATCTACAAAACCTTCTTAAAAACCAGTATGTAAAATAATAAGGCGTCTTCCCTTTCTTGTAGGGCTTTTCGGGAACTGCTACCGATATAGATGGAGACCCATAATCGTAGAAATTCAGAACAATTGCTTACTTAAGTTCTGAAAACTACTGTTATTAACGAAAAAAGAGTAAAAAACTAAGTAATAATGAGATATCAAAGGGGTGAAAGCAATAACAAAACTAAAAATTGCATTAGCTGCGATTTAATGATAAAAAGTGATGTGTGAAACTGACTGCAATCTGACCAATCAGAAGTCTACAGAATTGCCAACTTAAATTCAAATCGCTCCTCCTAGTTTAAAAACAGAGTATAAGAATAACCAAGGATAACGAACATCGCTTTAATTAAAACGGTAAATACCGAAAATTACCGGTTGATCGCTTTAAAACGGTTTATGATTTAATATTTTGATTGAAATTTGAAGTTAACAATGATTTTATTACTTTATTTTTCTGTAAAAAAATATACGGAAAAAAGTAAAGAAAACAAATAATAAGTACGGATAATTTTTGATATTTTGACTCACGTTTAATGTATGTAATCAATAGACAATGATAATTTGTTGAGATTTGATTACCAGGGAGGAAAAAAAGCAGTTAAAAAAAGAAGTCCATAAAATGATGAAAAAATTTAAATTAAAATTACAAACCATGGCAAAACGAGCTGACCATGTGATTAAACCCTTTTGGTTTATAAGAAGAAAATATCAATAAATAATTAATTTACGTGGCAGTCCTAGTAAAAAAAAAGATTAAACTCACCACGTTTGCAACCTCAATTGCCAGGTCTCATTGTAGGTTCTTATGTTCATTAAAAAAAGTTGTAAATGTATGAAAATATAATTATTCATGAGAAGGAACAAGACGTGTATCAAAAAAGTAAGTCATAATGAATTAACAGATTCCTACCAACCAAGGTTGCCAACGAGGTAAGTTTACTATATAGGAACGACCACGGAATAAAAGGTTATCTAAAGGGTGACAAGTGTATGTCATGTCAAACCTATTCAATATGGCACATTATTATCATCAATCTTGGTAAGTATTCCTAATAAATGTTAACAAAAACTGGTTTTTAAAATATACTTACAAAAGACGTGGAACCTGAATCAACCAGCGAACATTATCAGAATAAACATTTTGGGTAATAGCCCACTGAGCTAATTTATCCCATTCATCTCTGCTCTTTCCATAGATACTTAATCTCAGTTCTGAATTTTGATATTTCGATTCTTCCAGATCACTTGCTACCTCTTTTATTATATTAGCGAAGTATTTACCATTTAAGTAATTATCCGTTTTCAAGAATACCTCTCTAAGCCTGCTTTCTCCTATCGGATTATATTTGGCATTGAACTTATCGAATCTGTGAAAGGTATTACGATCTGCATGGACATCGAGCATGTCCACTGTTAAATCGTAAGTTGTAAGGTTCATAGACTAAAATATTTAGAAACAAAAATTAATAAGTTATTGGGTGTACCTTCAATAAGTGGGAAAATGTCAAATAAAACCACAGAAACCACTATGGTTTGAATTATGTGTTTTGTCTAGGTTCAGTTTTCCTCTCTAACTTTTGGTATTTAAATTCAAGCAACCTAGTGTCGCATAATTAATAGAGGTTTACCAATTTTAACATCTTAAGGCTACAATTTAAAGAAAGCAAAAAGGAACCTAATAAATAATTTCTTAACTTTTGAGCAGAGATAAGTAGACTGGGATTATTATACTTCTAAAAGGATAGATATAGCTTCAATTAGTTCTATTATGATACATTTATTAACTTTCTTATTCCTCTTGGTAAATTGTGGACTTGTTTAAATTTTTATCGAACCATTTCGACCATTCGGCCATTTCGCATTGCTTATACGTGAAAAAATACGAGTCTTTTGAACTTAGTAATTTTAAAAACAACTTATTTTCTATCTCTCTGATCCTCACCCTAACTACGACTGTTGGGTTGGGTACACCGATTACCCCTAGTCATTGTTGCTTTAAACAACTGTCATAGAGTCTTGGTGGGGGTATTTTTGCACTGATTTTTAGCCACATCTCCATAATAAAATACAAATCAAATTATAAACACAAAGAGTCGCTATCAAACGCAAAAACGATATTTGCGGATGTGTAATTAATACTCAGGGTAGGAAACATACCAACAACAAATTTTGGTGACTTTAAGAGGAAGTAGGATTTACGCAAGAGTAATAAAGATCATTAATAATTAAAAAATGGAAAACAAAAGCATGTATTGTTAACAAATAGATTTCGAAAGGAATTGGGCATCATTTATCCTTGTCCACTGCAACCTTTTCAGATATATTAGGAGATAGTAACGCAGATTATACTGGACAGCATCACATTGACGCCAGTCTTATTAGGGTGGAATTTATAGCCTAGCCTTGAGGCATCATTGCGTGTTTCTTAGGAGTAAAATGTATTTTATAGTCGTCGACTTTAAGGTTAAAATATAGAATTTGTGGTAGTGTTGAGATTGATTTGCACTATGACTGGTTTGACTTTTATTATAAATTGAGAGTTTTCTAAGAGTTCATGGATTATGTAGATTATCAAAGAATGAAATGGTTCCTTATATCAGGATGCCTAAGCGTTACATAAGAGACTGGGATATTCTAAAGGTCAGAATGAAGATTCATGTCCCGCTATAGATTCTCCAAAGATAAAGTTCAAAATATTATTTTTCCTATTATTAGATAAAAAACTATAAACTGTATCGTCAATGGCATTCCAAAAAATAGTGTACACTTTATTTTATGATTATTGCGACGAAGGTTAATCATTCTTTTCATATGTAAGGTGAGGAGGGTAGGTTGCGCCACAACACCTAGGCCTCATTATGTCTATCATGTTTCCTCCAGCGGCATATAGGACCTGCCTCTCGACTTGTCAAATTTATAAATTTGTATACAATAGCGCGCGCACAATATTCGTTGTAAATTTTAGGAAAGGTACGTAGATGATTTTTTAAAATTATTTATATATTTTTAATTAGAACTCACGTTGAAGTAAAAATAAGTTTTTTAAATTATTTAAGAATTAGTAAATGTTTTCGATACATCCATTTATGTTTGAATAATAATTAGGCCGGTTCACATTTTCAATTAAATGTTTTTACAAATTTTGAGAACTATTTATTAAATCATCCTCTTAAATAGGCTGGCATACACGTGTATACACGGCAGTCTTGGAGGCATCACTGCATTGCTTCTAGCAATATCAAAAGCTCTTCAATTTTAAAACGAAAGGCTGATAATTTCTAAACATTTTTAAATGCAGTTTTTTTCTAAATTAGTAATGTTTAATCATAATTAGGTAAGTTTATACAGCTATTCACACAATTTCATATGTTTTTGTTCTTATTTTATTGTAATTAGTACGAATTATTGGGCATTATTGTTTCAGATTTGTATAGAAAATAAAATTAATTAATTTCAGAGCACTGGTGTAATTCCTAGTTTGTGGGAATCCCTGTTTGTGAATGTATTATTATCTAGTCGGCCACGTGTTGTTTTCAAAGTAACAGTAGAAAACATTACACAAAACATAAGTGTACTTTCAGGGTAATTAATTTCGATGACATTAAGTAAAAATAATATTAATTTCAAAATATAAAATAATATAGAAGAATTTTACACAATAAAAGAGAACAAGAAACATTCAATATAAAATAAGAGGCAAACAATATAACTCAATAATAATAATAATAATAATAATAATAATAATAATAATAATAATAATAATAATAATAATAATAATCATTAATGTTTGTGTGAGATACAAATAAATTTGTACAAAACAAAATATTATTATACATTTAACATTTAACTATTTTCGGTAGTATAACACTTTATAATCTGCCTTCTAGTATCGAGCTCTCTGGAATATACTCGTAAGCTTGAATTTGAAGTGCTCTCATACAACATTGGCTCAGGACATTGGAACACAAAAACCCTGGTACTTGAGATATCAGATTGGAAGGTAATTGTTCGAATCCGGACCCAGCGAAGGTCTTCCAAATATTTGAAAAGAATCCCTTTCAAAAATTTGGTTAAAAGTTGTGTTGAAGTTCTTCAACATAATTTAGATCCAAGCATAGCAAATATTTAAATTTAACAACTTGTATCTGGGCATGAAAAATCTCAAAACCAACTGTGACGCACGTTTGGATTTCTCGAACTCATTAAGCAAACCACGTCACAGACACGTGAACACCTACTTTCAAAACGATTGGGCGTGACGTGAATGCAAGAGACGTGCTTAGCCTGTCAATCTTCTCCGCTAACGAAACGACAACCAGGGGCCCAATTCCTGACGCCTTCGTTAACTTATCGCATGCGATAACGTATGCGACTTGATGAAAGTGTATTCCTGAACTGGCGGCATTCGTCAAATTTATTAACGCATACGCTAAAAAAAATGGTGATTTTCAAAGAGCGCTCATGACCGTTCGACAACCACTTTGTCGCATTCGTTTAGGTGAAAGTAAGGTTATAATCAGAGGGTCGTCTCCACATGCTTTGATTTTCTTTTGTATGTGGTTGTCTCTGTTATAATTGTCAATTAATCCTGCTTTATCATAGGAGTTTTACAGGCACTAAACAATGTTATAAATTATACTAAAGTTTCACGCTGTTTTTCCGTTATTCGTGAACCACGCTCTTCCATTTTTAATATTCTAAATCTAAACCACTCCAATTCTCAAGTCCAAAATACAAATAATCACAGTTAAAACATCCAAAAACCAAAAATTATTAGACATCTGCAATCCATTTAATTTTATAATTTTTGCATTTTTGGCAATTTTTGCATTTTTGGCAATTTTGACATGTCAATGCAATTAGGCATTCCAACGACCTGTCAAACAATTAGGCATTCCAAACAAATGAATTACCAGTGGGCAGGTTTGGTATATCTAAGGGTGGCGACATATGGTGTATTCTATCTACTTTACGTAAAATCATGAATAATGGATTACATTTAAATATTTTATGTCAAACACAATAAAAATAATATTTAAAAAAACCCACCTATACATTTCTTCATAAATTGGCAGGCTTGGCGAGTACTACTTCGAATAAAAAATTGCGTCCAAGTTACAAGACTATGTCGCTACCCCCCTTAAATATACAAGAATTTCCCACTGGCACCTATTGTTTGACAGGTCGTTGGAATGCCTAATACCTGCCAGTGGGAAGGTCTCGTTATCTAAAGGGGGTAACGACGTAGTCTTGCATCTTGGACGCTATTTTTATTCGAAATATCAGTCGCCAATCCTGCCAGTTTTTAAAAAAATGTACAAGCAGTTTTTTTAATTAATATTTTTATAGTGTTCGTTATAAAATATTTAAATGTAATCCACTATTCATGATTTTACGTATTGTAGATAGAATACATCGTATGTCGCAACCGTCAGATCTACCAAACCTGCCCACTGGCAATTCATTTGTTTGGAATGCCTAAATATCTCATATTCAGTGATACCATCTTTGGTATTCTCAATCCTCATTGGTTAAGACTATACAATAATCAAAGACTCTTCGTTAACACGTTCGACTTGATTCGCGATTATCGGATGGTGTTCAGGAATACTAAATTGCTGTCGTATGCGTTAACGATCATGCGTTACTTAGCGCATGCGGCAGTTAACGCATGTTTCGAGAATTGGGCCCCAGAGCATCAGTAACTCTAGGGACGTGCAAATTTTTTAAAACATCGATGTTGACATCAAATAATACATCGAATACAGACTATCGATTTTTCTAAATATCGATGTTTGTTTTTCCATACATCGTGTCTGTAAACATCGATGTTTTCCAAAAGCGTTCATTGAAGAGCAAAAAATAAAAGGAATTCAAATCATCAATTGAAACGTGACGCTTAACAAAAAACCAAAAAACAATGAAAAATCGATTAAACATCGATACATCGTGCGCATCCCTAATTGACTCTCAGCAAAAGCACTTCGTTTCCCATCCTTTCAACTAGGCGTCATGTCGCAATATTTAATTTTGTAAAACTAAGGGCCGATCTTTTCACCTCTGAGTAAAGTTGAAAGTAACTACTTCTGATTAAACTATAGGGCTTTTGTTTATTGATCTGTCAAGTAAACCTACATATAACTCTGCGTATTAAAAATAGAAACACTGGCAAAAGTGTGATGAATTCGTATAGTTAGTGCTTTATTACAATTGTTAAATGTAATCCAATGTTGTACATAAAGTTTTTAATGGATCTACAATATTAAATGGTGTTAAACTTTGCCAGCTTTTTATTTCTCATACAGTCCTTTATAGTCGGAGGAAGATGTAGAAGATGTAAGGGGTAATAAGTTGACTTTCCCAAAGCACATAATTACCCTAATAATTAGTTATTTTTCTAAATTAGAACATATTGTAAATTTTCTTAAAGTTACTTAACAG